AACACAACGCCAAGAAACCTTTTAATACTGACCTACTTTCTGTACGAAAGTTACTTGTCAATTGCCATGCTGGAATTATTATTWTATTATTAAATATGCCTCCAATTTTATCAATTTTTTCCCCTAYCATATCGTACTATGAACACACAATGCATGATATTAGCCTCCTCCGATACCATGCATAGTATTAGCCTCCTCTGCAGTCCTTCTAACGGAAGCGGCATTTAACGGAAGCATAAGCCCCTTTGTTTATTTATTTTGTTGTTTCTTTTTTTTCAAATATTTGTCAATTACCACTTGTAATTGTGAATAAGTGGCTAAGTGAGCTGACATGGTATGGTGTTATTTTACTGTAGCGTGTTCGAGAGATTCGCAATGCTGTTGAACTAATGATTGCAAGACTTGATTCACAACTAAAGAGTAAACTCCTGACTTTGATGGGTAAGTCGCTTATTGAGATGATATGAAGGATATGGGCGCTATATTCGTACAGCCACTTATGCATCCATCCATCCATTTATTTATCTATTCTCTCATTTACATATTAGTAAATTGATTCATTTGTTCAGTTTATTTTATTGTTAATTAATTAATTTATCCCATCCATGTGTTCTTTCATCCACCCATCCATCCATGCGAGATTTATTTTTTTCTCACTTTTCATGTTCACGTTTTTTCTTTCATTCATTTATGGCACTTCCTTTCATTTATTTCATTAATCTGTGGTTTTCTTTTCTTTYCCGTCCTACATTCTTTTGTTTAATTGCTTTATTGGTTTATCCTTTTTTTGTATACTTAGACATTTCCTTTTTGAAATAGGTCAGAAAAACTCCTTAACTCAAGAAACGGAACTTTTAGAATCTTTATTACAAGAAGTCGAACATCAGGTAAAGGACTCTTGGAATAGTCTAGTYATGTGTTCTACAGTGATAGTTTCCTTACGGAAGTCACCGATATTTTATACTTGTCTGTGTTACTTCCCTGTGTAGTTACATTCGTGCTCAAGAAGTGAGCTGATCGCTAAAAGTGGTGAATTACTACAAATGTTTAACCAAGTCCATCGTAAACCAATGGCATCTTTCGTCACGCCGCCTATTCCCGCTGACTTCTCAAGGTATGTTTTCGTTCCCATTTATTCAATTTCAATTTCATTCACTTTTATCATTCGAAAAAAAGGAAGAAAAAATATTTAAAAACAAACGATAACAACAACTTGATTTGAATATTCTGTGTAGATTTTCCACAATAGCGCATATTTGATTGTGTAACTACAGTAATTATATGATCTTGATTTTTTAATTTGTCCGAATTTGTCCGTATTTTCGAATGTTTTAAGGAATATAAATGTTGCACTATTTGATTGTAATTATATATTAAGCTGAAACTTGAGGCGAGTTCATTCAACTGGGATTAGTGGCAGGCAATCATGGTTTATAAACTATGAATTCCATTGACGTGATTTTGTGTTGTTGCAGTGAAATTGTACCTCCTTACGACACGAGTACCTTCTGCATTACGAACTTCAGGTAAGCTATTAGCACCTGGGTGACACTCTCTGACAAGCTCATAAAATGCTTTACAGCATCATGGGTTCAATTACGTTGTACCTTGTGACCAAGAGCCTCTGCAAAAAAAAAAAAAAAACCTCCATGAAACACTTTCATTTTCTGGATCTTTCGAATTGCTTGAGTGATGTCCGAACACGAAAAAACATACAAGAAAGCTCTCATTTCATTTCCTTCTCTTTCGGACTTCTTCTCTGACACACAGGCTATGCTAGACCTCAAAAAGAAACTACTTCTTATTTAAAACAAGGACAAAACTAGCCTTCACACTCTTTACAAAGTCAGTGTAAGGAATGCTAAAGTTGAATCGCGATTCACGGTTGTTACTGTAGAAATTTGCCGTGTGTAAATTGTCACATCTTTTTTCTAGTATGTTGAAAAGAAAGGCTGATCCTGTGTACAGTGAACCGCTGAACGTTAATGGATTAAGTTGGAGGCTCAAAGTATATCCGGTAAGCCCTAATGATGGTGATGACAGTGATGATGGTAAATGACAGTGATGATGGTAAATGACAATGGTTATGATGATATGCTGTTCAAAAATAAAACACCCACGAAAACATTTCTCTAGATATCTTGCTTTGTACGTGCGCTATTTTGTGGCTTCATTTGTGGTMGCACCAATGGTAAACCAGTGTCTTGTTTGTTATACAGGATGGTAATGGTGTTGTTCGTGGTAACTATCTTTCCGTGTTCTTAGAACTGACAGCAGGTCTACCTGAAACTTCAAAGTAAGTGTTGAATCTCGTTGGAAAACAGGCACTATTAATTGGATGGTGGACATGCCTATAGCACACTGTTTCGATATCGACATCAAGTTTATGATCAGCACAAGACAGAAACTCAAATCGATTGAAACGTGCGATGCCGTATCGCTTTTGGAAAGATCTCCATAATTAGAGCTTCCGCTATAAGAGCGTACGCAATTGGAGATTCCACTGTAAAATCTTTACTCTTCCAAAACTCTGGAAACTAAAAATAAAAGTTACAAACATGACACATACATTGAAAAACAAAATATCGTTGTTTGTATCATCGGGTTTTTGAATCGAGCTTCRACTAAAAAAGATAATATCAAAAGTATGGTATATGCTTTGAATGTCCCAGTAGGTAAGAGTTTCCGTAGAGTTCAGAAACACGCGGAATGATTGACAAACTGAATGAATAATTGACAGACTCAATGAATGATTGACAAACTGAATGAATGATTGACACACTCAATGAATGATTGACAGACCCAATGAATGATTGACAGACTTGATGGATGATTGACAAACTGAATGAATGATTGATAGACTCGATGAATGATTGACAAACTGAATGAATGATTGACAGACCCAATGAATGATTGACAAACTGAATGAATGATTGACAGATTCAATGAATGATTGACAGACTCAATAAATAATTAACAGACTCGATGAATGATTGACAAACTCAATGAATGATAGACAAACTGAATGAATGATTGACAAACTGAATGAATGATTGACACACTCAATGAATGATTGACAAACTCAATGAATGATTGACAGATTSAATGAATGATTGGTAGACTCAATAAATAATTAACAGACTCGATGAATGATTGACAAACTGAATGAACGATTGACACTGAATGAATGAATGATTGACAGACTCARTGAATGATTGACAAACTGAATGAATGATTGTCACACTTTGATTGGTTAATAATCAAAAACAAACRTTTTTGTAGGTATGAATACCGAGTGGAGATGGTCCACCACGCTTCGCCTGACTCAAGTCGGAATATTGTGCGAGAATTTGGTATGGAAATCTACTTGTATGATTTGCACTAAATTAAGAAAAAATATTGTATGAATGAGAACCTAATCTTTTCGTCTTTACTCTCTCAGCCTCGGATTTTGAAGTCGGCGAATGTTGGGGCTACAATAGATTCTTTAGACTAGATTTTCTGGTAAGTCAGAAGTTTGTGTGATGGTGAAAATATTTTATAGTTCTTATAGTTTGATGTTACCATAAATTGTGATAATACAATCCGTGGAGTGATATACTGAATAGAATTATTAGCGACCCTTGGTATCAACAGTTTTGTCAAACAGAATGTTTTGTTGACAAGTAATTTTGTTGAGGTGCGCAAAGAATTCTGTGTGGGTTTGTTCAAAGCCCAATTAGTGTTAATCCAGGGGTAACTCCATAGGTTTTCTACAGCTAATTACAGCTAATTGTCCTTTGAACAACCTGGCCCAGGGCATTTCATTTATATTGTATTACTTGTATTAGATCAAAAATACAAGCTGAGTCATAAACCATTAGAATTCCGCTAAATATATTGATAATAGAAATTATATTTCATATTTCAGGCCAGTGAGGGATACCTTAATACAGCGAATGATACTCTGATTCTACGGTTTCAAGTCAGACCGCCAACGTTTTACCAAAAATGCCGTGACCAGCAATGGTAACTGTCATTTATTCTTGATAGTTTGATGTGAGMAGTTGATGATTCTAATCATGATGAGGATACATTGATTGCAATCCATTATAAAAAAAGTCAGAAAAGTACTGCCACCGCGTCAGATATTAAAGGGTTACGCCTTATTCATAAGTAGTACTAACGTCCTCGTCAAACCAAAGATATAGTTTTTATTCAGTCTGCAAATCGTTTTGTTTGTAGGTATATCAATCAGCTCGAGACAAGTCAGCTTCAGTACATACAACAAATGAATGATCTTAAAGAGGTAAAGGAGTAGTTACACCGATGCTACTGTTATTACCTTATTCTGCACACTGTGTAGTCCACAGGTGACCCCATCTCACTTAGATATCAGTTATTTTTATTAGCCAGGGACCATTGTGATGGCTTTAATAAGGATTGAACATGACAAATTGTCCTTATGATGGAAATGATTATCATCTGGAAGTAGTTGTTTGTACGAGTGACTAAAATCAATTTGTTTCCATTTTCAGCGCCTCGCTATTGAGCTTTCACGAAACCACGCAGCCCCTCCCTCGTCATCTTCGGCGTCACCAGACCGAAGTCACGTGTCCCTTTTAGAACAGTCGATCGACGACGATGAATCTGCTGACCAGACTGTTACTAAGCAACCAAGACAAAGCGTTAAAATGATTTATGGCAAAAACAACAAAAGTAAGAACAACAAGACACGTATGGCACTCCATACTGCTATAGACGTTGAGATGGCAACAGGTAAACAATAAACAGCACCACACTCGTGTAGTGTGATTATTCAGCTTGTTGATTCTTGTCTTCAGGTCCGTCAGTGCAGAACTCAGAAGAAGGCGAGGAGATGGACATGGAGAACGAAATTGAAGAAAATCCTATGGACGACGACGAGGATAACGACGACGATAGTCGCGATGGATCGGACGATGAAACACTCAATGAATTTGAAACGAATGTGTTAGAAGACATTATTCCTGAGCCAGGATCCGAGGGGATAATTGACGAGAAACCAAATTCCAACACAAGTTAGTCCGCATTTTTAGYGATGTTGTTACGTTTTTAATTGTTGCGGTGGAGAAGGGCGGCTGTTTTGTCTCTTTCATCCATTATGCATGTTTTCTTGATCCTACCAAACGTTTCCTTTTGCATTACTTCATACTTTCGTTAATGTATTTATTCGTGCTCTTGTCCTCGCCTATCACTGCAGCTCGTTCAATTGTTCTTTCGTTGTCTTATTAATGTTAATTCAAGTCTTACTTCAAGTCTTACTTGTTTCAGCTGTTTGTCGTGATAGTGGTCGTCTATCCAAAACTGAATTACAGCCACAAGCAGACGAAAGCGAGTGGGAAACACAAGAGGAAGAAGAAGAAGGTGGTTGGACCTTGGAAGATGTCGAGTTCGAGCTAGTCGAGCCAATCATGGACAAAGATTCGCAAGAGAAACAAARTCACGATGAGCAAAATCAAGCCAGCGCGGCTTCAGAGACAACAACAGAAAAACTTGCATTCTTTGAACCTGAAGCAAGAGTGTTGCTGAATTTAATCAAACTGAGTGAATCAGGCTCACGATGGAAAACCAACAGTCCAACTAGAAAGGCCGTGTCACTAATCGACATGCCAAGGGCTGAAGAGAAGGCCGCATCTAGGCGCAGGGCACGTTATGAGAGATGTAGTAGCATGCTAGAAAAGTTACAAAGCTGCTTGAATCGCGCTGAAGCCAAGAGCTCTGCGGCAGCGTTAGAGAGTGTCAAACAACTGGAAGGTAATGTAACTAAATTGCTAGCTCATTTTTTGACTTTCCGTTGGACCATGTTTTTCCTACCTTTTTAGAAAAAATAAATAAATTATTACCATCAGATTACTATGAAGACTTGTTTCTTCTTACTGTGTGGCCGTGATTCAGTGTCAACTTTAGGTTTTTATAAACAAAATTTCACCTATTGGATTCACATTACATTGAAATGGAGACTAAATGGAGCCAATTATTACCACAGACCATCTTACAGTATAAATTAGTTGTTATTTCATTTCACCAAGCAAACCCATGGCTACTTTCGGTCGTGCTATCGCCGTTCGACCATTGGCATTCGCTATTTATCTGACAGCTATATATATAAGGATCCATATATAATATATCGATTGATTTTGATATGAATTGAATCAGCAGAAGCCATGGCTAACGCTGCCTATCCCAGGCATTCACGTGACCACAGAAGGCAGAGACGTGGAGCATCGTTACCTGTTGTCAGTGCAAGAACAAAAACGTCACCGAAAAGAGGTCAGTCATCGGAGAAATGCAGAATTTGCAGATTTTCTTAGTATCATGTGTATATATTGATAAGCCAATCATATTAGGTGTTCTAAGGAAGTATCAAGTGTGTTCATAAAGCTACAGTTGATGTACCCATAAGGCATGAAGCAAATTCAGTACTTTACTTTTCTGTTTTTGTGTAGATCCAGAAGTTTGTTTAGTTGTGGCAGATGCCGATGTTGGTGGAAGTAGTCCTGAACTAGACACAGATAGTGCACATAACATACCTGAAAAGATCGACACTCCTACAAGCAGTAGACAGCAGACACATGGGTACGACTAATATATTATTATTCGGTTTAATGATTTGTTCTCGCGGGTTCTTAGTGTATTTTATGTTCTAGAGATTGTGCAGGTTATCGACTTTGGTTTGTCTAAAAGCTCWTGAATTCTTCATTTCTCTATTATTGTTTCATTTACGCGTGATATATATTACTTTAATTATAGTACAAAAGTCAGAAAGGTCGTGCGATCAAATGGCAGTACCTCCGAGATAGGCAGAGATGGTAAGCATAGTTGAATTCCAATCAACCCTATTGAAAAACTGAAAGYAATAGACCATATGAGAAAGGGCGTAGATATAGCATTATTACTCGTTTGAAGAACATATTATAATGAGTAAGATCTGAAAGTTTCATTGCTCATACATTTAAGGACCAGAAATTACAGATTTTTGAAATTGGAAACGTTTGAGTGAAAATCAGTATTGAGGCCAACCAGCCTTGTTTTTTCGTACGTCTCAAATGCTCGTAGCTCTGTCGATATTCAACATTAGAAAATAAAACCACCTCCACTTTACTAGTTTTAGATATACTGTTTCTAATAGTAGTGTAAACTTGCAGATTTTTAAAATCTGGATCGTTTAAGGTACTCATTCCCAGTCTTCTGCTTGTTTTTCATATGGTCAATAGTGTTTACCTTGAAAAATTTGTTGCGTATATAGATATATTTACGGCGTTCCATTATTTAGTTCTTGCAGTGTTCAACGATGTTCGCTGCTTACTAAATAAGACTTCTGTATGACCTTTTCTACGATTGCTTCACTTTGTAGAGCCATTGCATAGTTCATGCCCAGAGCTTTCTCATTATTATTATTATTAAAAATAATTATCTTAAATATCATTTGTATACTTATACATCCAAGTCAAAATGAACCATTGTGATATGATTTCAAGGTCTGGAAAGAAGCTCTCAACTCCTGTCTGAACTCAAGCGAGCGTCAACGCTRAATAAGGCATACAGACTGAGCTTCAGTAGTCCTGAAGAAGAGGARCTACTCCGGGCTCTAGATGCAGCATCAAAAACCAACACAACCAATCAGGGTAAAACATGTTGAACTAAACCATCTCCATACATACAATTAAGATAATCAGTAAAACGCAATTATAGTTTAGAAACGACTTTACGTAGAGTGCAGTAATAGCAGCAATCAATCAACAGTATCGAAATGCAGCATCACAGTGTTCAGTATTCAAGGTTTTATCTTTCCTTTAATAAAAACTGTCTCCATATTAAAAACACTGACATTGTTTACGAATCATACCTTGTGTTTATGGTTGTATTTATGTCACCGTGTGAATCACACCTTACTGTTCTGTTCTTCTCTTCGTTGGATTGATCGATCAGTTGATGCAACACTGTTTTTTTGTTCGGTTAGATTGCGAAGAGGGAGTATTGTATGTCAGTACACGTTCGTCTGATGATGAATTCACATCGTCGTCTATTACAGCAAGTGACCATCTAGTCAGTTCTACTATGATAAATGAACCTACTCCACCAGATGACAGTGAAACAAGTCGAAGTGAAGGTAAATGATATCGATTATTGCTACAATCATTTGTGAGTACTTTCATTTGTATATTTTAAGTATGTTATTGTTACAATATCACAATCATCATCATTATCATCAATCGTCATCATATAGATCGGTTTTTCTAGTAGAATGAAGCTGGTCTGCTGCGGTATTTTCTCTTGGAAGTTTTGCATTATCACCTTATGATTGCCAAAAAGTTTAACATATAGAATAAACGCGCCTAACCCGTGAAACAATAAAAAAATAATAATAATAATAATATAATAATATGTGGTATTTATATAGCGCCGATATCCTCTGAGTTCACAGGCGCTTCACATGTATAGATCATTTCACACGGACCGCTGTTTAAGGCGCAATTGGCAGCCAACACTCATTGATCCGTTTACTGGCTGTTAGTGTATGCAAAAGAACCTGGACAGTGTGGATAGTGACATAYTATTGGTCAGCTAATACAGACTAATGAATATTATTTGGTTTGAGTGCATTTCATTATGCAACTGCGTTTAGAGTGAAGTCATTAAACCTGGGAAACAAAACTAGACTATTAAAAGTGTGAAAATCAATATGGACTCAAAAGAAAACAATGCAATTAGATTGTAAAAGGTGYATTAATGTATTATCTAATTCACGGGTGTTTTGACTTCTAAGAAGGAACACAGCTTGTAGTATGTTGCTGTTTGTAGATGCTGCTATCATAACGTGATGATAACGTGATTTACTTTGAATTCCAGCGTGATTGTTTTGTAACATGTATTTCCTCTTCTTAGAAACCAACGTTATTGATGATCCACTGCAATCAAGAGATGAACAGTAAAYATATCTAGATGGAAGACTGTTTTAYAAGAAGTCTCTTRTAAAAAAGGCCTAATATGAAACTGCGTTCGGATCATTGTCTATATATTATGTTGCCAAGCATTCGTTATGGCGAAAATAGGCCCCTTGCATATCGTGGGAATGCAACTCCAACTGGAGGACAAACAATGGATTCTAGTTCCCAAGAGGGCAAAAAGCAAAAAAAAAAAATGTTTTGTTGTCCTCCAGTTTAATCTACTTTGACGTCACATGCAAGGTGTCTATTGGGTATTCTCTGTTCTATTGTTCCATATACAGGACTAAATAGAGTGGTTTTCCGTCAACCATGAAAGYACAATAAGTCTAATAGTTAGTAGYAGYTTGTAATAKACCAATACTAATAGTCTAGGTTGTATCCGATTATATAGGTATAAACTATAGGTATAGTAAACTATAGGTATAGGTATAAACGTATTCATCACAAAAAGTTCTTTTTTTTTATTTTAATGGTCGTTTTTGTTATGGTAACTAATTAAACTAAACGTTTAATTTATTCAAATTGTTGTTTGTTAGCTATTCGTTTATAGTTTATATGTCTAAAAGTTATATTGACTAGTCTAGTATTCATTGCTACTAACTAGTTGGTCTATTTCTTTTCATGGTTGACGGAAAACCACTCTACTGTTCATTGCTCGTTCTGTGTGCTTTAGATCTTTAGATTTGATCGCCTTATTGAATAATGCAGTACAAGGGATATTGTTTACAACTCAGTCCACACGTAGACCCTTTGTAAATAGTTACTCGTCTAAGTCACGCATTCTTGTAGACCCTTTGTAAATAGTTACTCGTCTAAGTCACGCATTCTTCCAATCATTTTCGGGGACGTTCTAAGCATGAGAGGGCGGGACTGGCGCTTGAAACAGATGTTATATTGCAGTTTAGAGTCTATGTAGAAATATTTTACGGACGAAGGGAATCAAATCCAGAGGAGATCCCATAAGTATCGCAGCAACTATTCTACAAATTGGATTATTGTAAGATAGACCTGATTTGTTATTTATGTTGTTGGACGTTCGTGGTGTTTATTTGTTTAATGAAAACTGATTAATATATATGAAGATAAGATTGTTATAATATATCAGTTGTAATATATTGTTCATATCGAATAAAACATTAGTTTTGTTATTGTCGTGTCTTGTTTAGAAAGCTTCAAACGGAGTCTATAACAAATCTGTCATTCATATAAAAAAGTGGCTAGTTTGTTAAAAAAGGGTGTGGTTAGTTTGTTAAAAAAGGGTGTGGCTAGTTTGTTGAAAAAGGGTGTGGCTAGTTTGTTGAAAAGGGGTGTGGCTACTTTGTTAAAAAAGGGTGTGGTTATTTTGTTAAAAAAGGATATGGCTAGTTTGTTAAAAAAGTGCGCAAGACTAGTTTATCATTTATTATTTTTACAGAGGCACCCCGCGAAGGGGAGCAGTAACCTTAAGTCCTTTCTTTTTATTTTCTCTTAATTTCCTTTATTTCTATTTCCAAAAATTCAAGATAAATACAGTCCTTTCATTGCAGAACATTGCATGTCAAATTTGCTCTATATTATATTTGTTTCTCAAAGTTATACTTGTCCAGTGA